GCCCAGCGGGCGGTCTACGCCTACCTCAAGACGATCGCCCCACTTCCGGAGCTGCAGGAGCCGCGTGTGGGGCGGGTCTACGCGGAGGCCTCGATCGAGGACACCCTCTACCCGATTGTCGAGGCGCACGACGTGATCATCGTTGCGGGCGCCTACTTTGGAGATGAGGGAAAGGGGAAGACGGTGGAGGCGGTCTCGCGACACCCCAAGTGTACCTGCATCGCGCGCGTGAACAGTGGCGAGAACGCCGGGCATACCGTGTTTGATTCACAGGGGCGCAAGTTCGTTTTTAACCTTCTCCCCTCTGGAATTCTGTCGGAGGGCGCGAGGAGTTACATCGGCCCCGAGTGCATCATGGACCCTATCTCCTTCATGGAGTCGGAGGTCCATCAGCTCATTAACGCTGGGCTCCCTTACCTGGAGCGCGTCCGGGTGGGAAACGTCTACATCGTCACACCGTACCATAAGTTGCTCGACTTGGTGCTTTCGGAGGCGAATTCATCGACGCTGAAGGGGATGTCGCCGGCACACGCGGGGAAGGTCTCGAAGAACGGGATTCGTTTGAATCACATCTTCAACGACGAGGCCACCCTGCGGAGTCAATTGAAAAGAGGCTTGGAAGTGTACTTTGGGATGCTCAAGCAGAAGAATATGACGGAAGAGGATGTGGCACAACGCTGCGCAGAGGCCAATAGCGGCGCCTTGAAGCGAGTGCCTTCTCACGTCATCAACTTCGTCACGGCAAAGGATAAATTGGAGTACCTCGTTGACCTTTACCGGACGAGGGTTCGCGAAAACACGGCCTTTCCGGCGCGCTGCGACGTCGTTCAGGAGATGGCGGCCGCGGTCCGGCGCGGAGAGAAGGTGCTCTTGGAGGGACCTCAGTCCTACTGGTTGAGCAATGGCTGCGACAAGTTCTGGGTTAGCTCGACGTCCTCCAACACCTCGGCGATCGGCCTCCTAGCGGCCTCACAGTTGAACTTTCAGAGCGTGAAGGCGGTGGTGATTAATGTGCACAAAGCCCCTGCCTCCAGTCGAGTGGGCATTGGCGCCTGCCCGAGCGGCTTCGTCGCGCAGGATTTCTTCTCCTCTCGAAATATTCGAACGCTTGATGAGTTACCGAAGGGCATCTGTGCGGATTTTGACGCCATCCAGACCTTATTCTTTAATTACGCCTTCCCCCATGCAAATGATCCGGATCGATTTAATGGCATCAGCGAACCCATCGAGTATTCTGACGGGACGGGCACCTACAACATCGGGGCGGCCATGGCGATCGCCTCGTCTGTTTACCATGGCGAGCTCGGCGCCGTGACGCGGAAACCGCGGATCTGCGGCTTTTTCGACTGCGTTTTGCATCACGAGGTGAACACGACTCAGGGGCCGTATCTTACCATTTCCGCCCTCGACCGCGGGGACGCGTACGACCGTCTCGGCATCACCATCGCGTACGTCTATTACAGTCCCGAAGGCGTCATCTGTGATTCGAACGGGCGACAGTACAGAAATGGCGATATCATCCGCGCTGGCGATTCGGTGCCGAGTGAAAACGTCCTCTACTACTGTCATCCAATCGTGAAGCTTGTGAATGGGTGGAAGGACGCGCCCATCGCGTCGACCAAGCGTGAAAAGGGAGCCCCATTCCCACCAGCTTTGTGCGAATTTTTATCCACCATAGAGCACTTCACGGGCTGCAAGGTGCTCTCCATAGGCAATGGTCCGGGTGGAGATGATATTATTTACATTAATCAATCGTAAAAGGGAAAAGTAGGAGATCTCAGTAGGTTGGCAAGTGAGAGAGGGTTCTTGCTAAATATTTTCTGAAGAAGAGTGTGTTGTTGTCAATATCGGTAATAATTAAGTAGAAGTTCTTCTAAGTTTGTTTGTTTTTAAGCAGAAAAAAAAGTAATCTAGCTAGATAAGTATCGTTTTGCCCCTATTTTTCTTCCTCATTTGAGGCTTCAACCAAGAGGATCACGTTCCTGTCTTTGGCCTATTTTGCACGCGTAGTCTAATTTTTGTCTTAATCCAATCTCGAACTTGTTTTTATGGGATGTTCTTCTTTTTTAAAAAAATCTATTTAGGAAAGGCAAAAGTAAAGTGGAGATATAATTTAGGGGCGTTATGGATTGCCTCAGTTTGAATCTTTCCATGTAAATACAAAGAGGGTTTGAAGCCCCAAAGATCTATATTTTCATTTAATTAGTATTCAGTAGAAAACGATTCGGAGATAGAACAGGAAATCAATGTTGAAAGAGTGTTTCCTTATATTTACTTCAGGTTGCTCAATATCTAACATATAGACATATATATTTTTATATACACATATGTATATGTTTTTTACAACATTACCATAACCTATGTTTTTGTGTACATCCATTATAACTCGTAAGCGAATGTTAGAATCTGAACAAGATGTTGTGTACACAATAAAGATGCCTCGAGTTCCCACTGTTAAGTTTGAAGAGTCTATTTATGCACACCTTCCGTTTGCCATGTCCTCTTCAAATCCTCAATTGTCTGCACTACTATATTTATAAGGCTGATTTCCGTTTTCTCTAGGTTTGAATCAAATTATCCAGATCTTAAGAAAGATAGTAAGCATTCTTACAACTAATAAGATTCCCTTTTCAGCTCAGTGCTTGTGTACATACCATTGTACAATTGAGGAAAATTAGTATATATAAATATATATATATATATTTATATATAGGTATATACTCAAGGGTAGAAGCTGAAATCAGGGAAGGTGCATTCTCGATCCCTAGAAAGTGTAATTAGCTATTTCTTTTCCCACTCTCGGTTCCAAAGCTCCTTTTTCCTTTTTATTTTCTCTCTTCAAGATGGCCGAATATGAGATGGACGACCTTGGAGATGAGAACCTGACGATTAGCAACGAGGGTATCCAGGAGGACGTCTCCACACTTCTACGTAGTAAGCTTGGTAATGAGGAGTGGAGTTCGGTGAAGGTGGATATCTGGGTGGAGGATATCATCGGGGCGATTCTGAAGGAGCTGGCGGAGCTCAAAAAGCCTTTTAAGTATGTGGTAAATTGCACGATTATGCAACGTACCGGCGCGGCGATCGCGAGCGGATTCGCGAGTCTGTGGGATAATACGAAGGATGGAGTCGTTCACGTCCCCTTCGAGAATGATTCGCTGGTGTGCACTGTTACGGTGTACTTTCTGAAATTGAACTGATGGGTTTCTGCCGAACCTTACGCTCTTCTTCTTCTTCTCTTATATCGTCTTTCTAGGGTGTATGCATCTCATTTGTTCAAGCAAAATACAACGAAAAAGGGAGGGGGGTAACGAGACGCTTGTGCAGAATGGTGGAATAGTACAAAAGAGAGAATTGAGTGTGACAAATTAAGCTGTAATACTTAGCTTATGGGCTTGATTTTCTTTGTTTTCTTCCTTGTATTTCCATATCATATTTTCCATCATCATAGTCATCTGAGTGAAGTAGTGAGAGGCCAAGGGACCCTTTGATGTATCTATACCCATTACCACATATTCTCAAAAAAAAAACAGTTTATCTCGTTGTGATAAGCTTTCTGTCGTTGTGGATGTGCAGAATTACTACTTTTTCATTCATCTCCCTTTCTTTGTTATTATAATGATTGACTTGCGTCTTTTTGTTTTTTTTTTGTCTTACTGACGTGTGTATGTTGCACTGTATATACTATAATGTATATGTGTATATAGGAATAAAGGGATACCCTGGTTTAAAGGAAGATTGAATGAGATCAGCACGCCCTTTACTTTAACTAATCGTTTCTTATTCTTCTCGTTTGGGGATCCCGTCTTAGTTTCAGGTGTTGAGCACCTTTATAGGGATGCCTTGGCGGCGAATAGCGCCTGCATGGCGGAGAATGCAGCGGAGTTCCGCCTCGCACTGCCTCTGCCTTTTCGACGGCTTTTTTCACCACCCTTTTCCCCGTCTTCACGGGCAACTCCGAGGGGTTGGATCACGCCACGATGATCAGGAAAATGACGCGGTGTTGCATAACGAACGCCCAACCGCATCCCTTCATCACCACACGTCTGATCAAACGCCGATTGAGAGTGGAGGCGTAAATCCATTTGGAGTGAATGCGCACGCGGCGGCGGGGGAGTTCGTTTCACGGTTGGAAGCGTTGCGCTGTGTGGGAGCCTCTCCAGTAGTGGATGCCGTTCAGCTCGATGACGACGATACAACAGATGGTAAGAGTATGTATAGCGAGGCACGAAAAGCACTTCGTCGTCGTCGTCAGCTTTATAATCACGCGGTCGCGTTAAAAGAGGTGATCGCGGAGGAGATGCGGGCGGAGGTGGCGCGTGATAGCGTGGATGGCGCCGCGGCGGTCCCTCCTCTTCCTCCTGCCGGTTGGGCGGTGCATCATACCCCGGGTTCGGGGTTTTTCCTCATGTCTACCACGCTGAAACCCCCTTCCGGAGATCCGAGCAAGGAAGGAGAAGATAGAGATGAAAACGAACCTCGATATCGTAGCATTCACGACGAAAACCTTCAGCACCTTCTGCAGCGCGCGCAGCACGTACGATCCCCCGCTTCTTCTTCTTCTTCTTTTCCCACGCGTTTCTTGCGCGAGGGTGGATCGCGCGTGGAGGTGGTTCGTTCACAAACGCACCTCACACTCTTCGCGCCGTTTCGCGTGCAGGATTTGTCGTATTACGATCCCGCCGTTTCCATCTGTGAGTGGGCGGCCTTTGACGTGCTCGTGCGAAAGACGCCCCCATCCCACACATCTACTTTGCCTTCTCGTGATGAAATCGATCGCCAAACGGAGCATTCAATGCATTCCATTCCTGAAGAAACTAGTGATAATCCTTCGAGAATGAGGGAAAATTGGGGGGGAGAAAGGGGGAGTCCACGCGATCGGGTGTTGCTGCGTGGGCAGCAGCGGGTGTGGGAGCAGCGGGAGTGTATGTATCTCCGCCTCGCCTCGGTGAACAGCGAGCTACGAATTCGATCCGTGCAATTTCTCTCCGCCCGCCTCGCCCGCGCGATGGAGGAGTTTGCCGTTTTCGGCCATGGGGATCCGTTTTTTGGGGGGCTTCTTCGATCGTTTAACGCGCTTCAACCCCGCCATGCCGGGTTTCAGGGAAGGAAAGGAAAGCGGCGAGAGGGGGGAGAGGGAGTGGTGGCCGGCGTGGGCGAATATGACGCCCCGATGGATCGTTGGCGGCAGCGTAAACGCGAAACGGCGGCGGGCGGAGAAAAAGGCACCTCCTTAAACCTCCCCTTCTCATCCCCCCCCTCCTTTTTGCCTTCTCTTTCTTTGTTAACCTATCCGAGGGAAAAGCTGCTGATGGAGTGTTGGAATTACACCGGGGAGGTTGCCCGGACGCTCGCGTACGGCGGCCCGTATCTCACGGACCTCTCCAAGGAGCTTCATGACGCCTTTTTGACGTACCTCATGTCGGATCTTCGAATTAATCACACCTTGGCGGAGTACGTCTGCCAGATGCAGTTCTTTCTCGAGCAAGAGGAGTATATGGGATGGCTTGCGCGTTGGCAGGTAATGGCGGATACCCTACAACGAGCACCGCGCGATCACCCATAATGCTTTCCTGCCTTAATTGAGAGCACACACGATTCACAAAATTTGCATCCTTAAAGTAGAACAAAGGATCTCTTTTTATGATTTGTAGTTGCTGTGAGGCTTTTAAATAACCTTTTGAGGGGTGTGGAGCGGGAGGGGGAGGGGTGCTTTGAGCCTCCCGGAAATCGTAATATTATATCTTTGTTTTCTCTTCTGAATGACACACTATAATTCAAGCACCATAGCTTATAGATATCTAATCAAAAAAAAATATACCCTTGCTTGCATCTTGACATGGCGACGAATTTAACCGAAAAGGAGATTGAAGAGTTCCGTGAGATCTTCAACATGGTGGACACCAACCACAGAGGGCAAATCACGAAGCAAGAGCTACTTCACCTCATGGATAGGCTGAATCTTCGCCCTACCGAAGAAGAGCAGCTCTCCATGCTCAGCAATGCTTTGGATAGCACCTTTCTGCATCCTAGCGGGGACGGGGGAAAGGAGAGCAAGGATAACTTTTCAAAAAATGAAGAAGCATGCACGAGGGGCAGTGGTCTCGAGAATACGATCGATTTCAATCAATTCGTAGCTATTATGGGTAAACGAGTACAGGTGGAGTACACGCCGGAGCAGCTACGCAACGCGTTTAGGCAGTTTGAAACAGATGATCTTCCCGCTGGGATCATTTCGACAAACGTTCTCAAGCATGCCTTGATGACGTACGGCTCGGAAAAACTTAGCAGCGAGGATGCAGATCGGCTGATCGCGGTTGTGGATCCAAAGGGTACGGGTGAAATCAATTATATCGATTTTGTCGCCATCACTTTTGACCGAGAATAAACACCAAGGGGGAGGAAGAAAATGGGATATTGTTGCTGTTTTTCACAGAGGCGATATGAAGTTCCTCTGATGTACATTATGCATCCTATATATATATATCTATATATGCGGTCAAACCTATTGTCATTTTTTGAACTGAATTGTTACGTGAACTCTACTTTTTGTAGAATAACACCATTTTTTTGGGAAACAAAGACTAAGACATGTACATCTGCGAACCAACAAGGGTGAAAAAAACGCTTAATAACAACAAAAAAATATCCTATGCTTTGCTTTCGCCTGAATGATGTTATGCTATCTGAAGGGATGAATTGATCTTTAGGAAGCTGAACGCCTCCCGTTACGATGCCAACGACCGCATGCCTCCCCCAACCTCCCTTTTTCTGCTTCCCTCCACCCCAAGACGAGCGCAAAGGAAGAGAGGGGGGAGAGGAAGCAAACAAGAAAAAAAACACGAAAAGAAAAGGTATACAAAAAAAGAACAATTCCATCCCCTACGGAGAAAATCTTTGCTTTTGTTGGGACTCCATTTCCTTTTCTTGATTCTCTTCTTTTTTTTCTTTAGTTTCGGAAAGGAGAGAGGGTCCATGTCGAGGCTTTGCTCACGTCCTGGAGGGGTGGAGGTCGCCTTCCAGACGATCCTCCCCCCCCCCCCTCGACAGCTCGCGGGGAGGGGGGGGGAAATCATCCTCGCCCACGGCCTTCTTGGCAGCGGGCGGAGCTGGCAAACCGCGGCGCGGCGTCTTCTTCAGCATCCAACGCTCTCCTCAATCCTCCACGCCGCGCACGCGATTGATTTTCGGAATCACGGTAGCAGCCCGCATCATCTTTCGCATGCAAACGCGGCGATTGCGAGCGATCTCGAACGGTTTTTACTCCGCCCGCAGGGGGAAGAAACAAAAGGCAAACGAGGGGTGTTGATCGGGCATAGTATGGGGGGATACGCGGTGATGGGGATGTTGCTTCGACGATGCAACGCCGAGGCGATTTGGCGGGATCGCGAGGGGGATTTAGGGGGGTGGGGAGCTTCGCAACGGGAGATTTGCGCGCGGGAAATGCGGGCGGTGAATGAGGCGTGCGGGTTCGCGCCCGAGGACCCCCTTCGCGGAGTTCTTTTCGATGAAAAAAAGACTACGACGCGAGGGCGGCTCGCGGCGTGCGTGGTGGTGGATATCACCCCCACCACCCCATTGAGTACGGCCCCTGGGGCCGATCAAGGGGTATTTAAAATTCTCCAGGCAATGACGCGTGTAGAGTTAGGGGCGATTCGAAGCTATGACGACGCACAACACGAGCTCCAGCGCGTCGGGATTGAAGAAAAGAGCATGCGGGATTTCATCACCACGAATATCGTGTTGAACCGGGGGGAAAATGGCGGTGCGGCGAGCTGGCGATGTAATCTCTCCACGCTCGTGAGCTGCTACGAGGAGATCTCGCCGGATATCGTGCGGTGGTTTGATCCCAACGCGATGAACGGGATCGCCCCGAAGCCGTGTACGCTTCCGATGCTATTCGTATTCGGGGAGAAATCTCAATTTAACGATCCCGAGCAGCGAAGGCAGTTGAAACGCTTCTTCCCAAATGTGCGAGAGGTAGTGGTGGAGGGTGCCGGACATTTTGTACACTACGAAAAGATGGATGCCTTTGTCGAGGCAACCGCGCCCTTCATCGCGGAGCACCTGAAAGACTAAATGTGAAATGATCAACAGGAGCGAGGGGCAAAAGTGATATTTTGTCCTTTCTGTAGGCGCCGAAAGCGTTGAAACCATGCATGGTGATTTTGGGGAGCGTTTTGTGTTTATTTACACCTTTCATCTGGACAAAGTGGATTACTTATTGTAGTGAATACATTGTAATGAAACATCAACTCCTGTAAGATTTTTGTAGATAAAGTAGTTTTTAAACTTCACCACCACGCTCTTAGCCTCTTGGAAGGTGGGAAAGCACTCCAATATGTATCATTCGTGGATATATATAAATATATATACATACATATGGTGTGAGTGAGTGTCTTTATGTGAAGTATATATGCCTAAGACTATCCCAATATGACCATTTTAAAATATAATAGAAAATTTGTGTGAAGAGCACATAGTGAATGCTATTTGCTCTGCTCAATTTTTACTATCTAAACAGATGCCGGTACTTATTTTTTTTTCTTCTCTTCTTCGATCTCTATCCTTAAATCTCATGCGGCGTGGCATTGGGAATTCCCTTTCCCTCATCCCTTCTTCTCAAGAAAAGAAAAGGGTGGAATCACTTTAGAAGTCATGATTATCCCAGTTCGTTGTTTTACTTGTGGGAACGTCATTGCCGACAAGTACCTAATTTATCTTGACATGATTGCCGAAGGGGTATCCGAAGAGGATGCCATGAACGCCTTTCATTTGAATCGCTTCTGTTGTCGTCGTATGATGCTCACACATGTCGATATGACGGATTTGCTCCTCAAGTTTAACCCCGCGGATACGAGCGTGCTTAACGACCCGGTAGCAGCCAATTTTGGGTATTAAAGTTTTTTTTCGTATGTGTGTCGCTTTGCAATCATTAAAAGGGAAAGGGGAAGACAGAAAGATAGGGTTCTGGATTCGGAAAAGGTCCTTTCTGTGTGGGTTTGATGAAAGCTTGTGTTCTGTTTTTTTTTTTAGGCCAGTAGTCGGGTAAGCTAATTATCCGTGCTTATCTTCCCGCCATATGAGGCCAAGACTGAATGCCCAGTTTCATGAGTTGAAATTAACATTTTTCCCGTTGGAAAGGTTTTAACAAGAAGCCTGAATTATCAACAAAAAGAAGAAGCTGTTGTAGAGGACAACCTTATACGGATGGGAGGAGGGGTTGGTATGAACATTAAAAAACCAAGATACTATGCCCCCATCGACATCCTTTTACCTTCTCCAACCCTTTTCTGTTTTA